CGTATGTTAATTATTTTTCGGTTCAGATTTTTGTTTGTTGTTTGTTGTTGATTGATTGGTATCTGTTTTTTTTTTTGTTTTTCTCGATTTGATTTGATTCGTTTGGTTCAATACACTGAATGATCTTTTGTAGTCCGTATTCGTCGTTATTCTCTCTTTTCCTTATGGTCGATCATTGTTGTTGTTGTTAGCTTTTTTTGCTAAATGATTTGTCATTTTTTTGTTGATTTATCGAGGAAAATTCGTGATATACTAAACAACCGAAAAACACGAAAGAAAATTTAAATTTTGTTTCAGCAAATTTCATTTTTTTAAAAAAACGATCAAATTTAAATTATTTAAATTTCTATTTCCAGCCAGTAAAAAAAAATTGGCCAATTAAATTATTGATAAAATTTTCATTATCAAATTTGTTAGTTTGTTTTTTTTCCCGTTTGTTTAATCAATCGTCATCCATTCATTTCAGTAGGAAATTTTCAAACATACAGCGCCTGGAGCATTGTAAAATTTTATTTTCATTGAAATGGAAAAATTTTTTTGTAAAAATTCAGTGTAAATACAACAGGATTTCTTGTTGTAATCTTTGATCGTTTGTTTTCAATATTATCATCATTTCATTTTCATTTTTCCTGTTCCTTGTTATTAAAAATTGCATAATTCAAGGATTTTTGTTGTTGATGAAACATTGGTGAGATAATTAGTTTAATTGAGAAAAAACACCAATAACAACAGTTACTATTTTTTTTTGAATCGATCATTATCCTCATTATCATTTGGATGTCCAATGTTTTTTTGTTGTTGTTGTTTTTGAAAAATTCGGTTTCCTTTGATTTGGAAATCATAAATTCATGGTTGTTTTCCATCGTCTTGCTTCCATCATCTCTTTTCTTTCAATCGGGAATGATAATGAGAATGCCTAGAATTTTTTTTGTTCTGTTTTTGTTTTTGTTTTCCTCCATTCACTTATTCCTGAAGTTGATGAAAATTCAAAGATAAAAAATAAATTTCTGGAATTTTTCGTTGTTCGTTTGTCTCTTATCATAGAACTGAATGAAATGTCACTATGGCTGCTAGCTGCTGCTACTGTGTATGGTTCTTTTCTTTGTCGAAGCTAAATTTAGAACCAAATTTACATTTTTTTTTTTTTTTTTTTTTTTTATTACAAAAAACCCTTATACCTAAAAAAAAAGGGTAAAAAAAAAAAACAATCCAGAAAAAAAAATAA